GGAGGGCTCCGTCTGCATCACCCTGTGTGGGCACCGGAAAGGGGGTCTGGGTCTCATACACAGGGTCTGGCGGGCGGGCAGACCAAGGTCAAGGGGAGGGGGTGGAGTCGATGGGAGACACAGACCCTCAGGCGGAGGAGAGGGGACTGTGGGAATGGAAAGGCAGGCCAGGAATGATGGGCCCACCTCGGCGTTGGCTGACCGACACTGTCCCATGGTGCCCGGGGCGCTGGGTCCTTTGGTGAGCACTGTGTCTTCCTACAGCCCGCCCTGGAGCAGCCGATGGCTCATGATCTGCGCAGAGGGGTGGGGGCCGGGTGGGGGGCAGCTCAGCGTTTCTTTCTCAACTGCCTCCTTTGACTCCACCCCAGACATCCAGGCCTCATCCAGGGGTCAGGGCCAGCTCCACACGGGACCCCATCCCAACCTAGGCTCCCGGAGCGAAGGTCACAACCCCCAGGCCACCCCATTTAAAGGGAACCCCTTGGGCCTCACCTTAGATTCACTCCCTCCTCCTCCAGCCACCCATTCTGCTTCACGCACACACACAGCAGCCTTCAGGGCCTGGGCCCCGCCGGCCCTGACCCTCGCAGACTAGGGCAGGATAGGCAAAGTGTGCCCTCTGGACGGGAGGGGGCACCCCGTTTGGGTGAAAAGCCCTGGATCTCTCCTTACCTGCTGGCAGCCGCTGAGACAGGACAGGACGAGCCAGCTCACCTGAGCTCAGCTCTTATACCTGGGGGAAGGGAGGGGAGGCAGGGGGCTGGGCCTCTTCCCCAAGCCACCCCTGCTATTGCAGCCTCCTGGGAGGTGAGCCAGCTGCGAGGGCCCCACCTTTCATTGGCCGGAGCTCCAGAGCCTGCCCCCACCCCGCCGCGAAGAGGGAGCCAAGGAGGGCCGGTCTGGGATGCCCCTGGCATCCAAGGAAGAGAGAGGGGAAGCGGGGTGGGCAAGGGAGAGAGGGAGGGCTTAGGAACACTGCAGGGTCAAGCCCGGGCCGAAAGGCCTGGGGAATTGCAGGGCAGGAAGTGGAGGGGCCCTGAGCCATAACCAGAAAGAAGCTGATCAAGGCAGGGTTTGTGGCACAGAGGGCATGAGGGACATGTGGGCTGAGAGAGGTCCCCAGGGACCTCTCTGTCCTTTGATGGGTCACACGTGCACGCACACCCCTCCCACCAGGGCCAGTTTGGATAGTGACCGCCAAGCCTGCCCAGATCCTAGACCGCAGCCGCCTCAGTCCTGATGGGACCGGTGAATGAGGGAGCAAGGAGCCCGCGAAGGGCCGCGTGGTGCGAGACCCAGCTGGGTCCCTCGGCCGGCGTGCACATGTGCTGCACGTGTGTGAGGCTCAGCTGCGTTTCCGGCAGGAAATGACCTCTCCAAATGACCTCTCCAAACTGGTCAGGCTGCCTGCTCCTCCCTCCCTCAGAGCCCTGCACTGTCCCTAACTTGGCCACTCCACAGCGGCACGCACGCACACACGCACGACTCAGGACCCGGGGTGACACCCCAGGGAGCAGGTCCAGGGCCTGAGCCCGACCCCAGTGACCCTGACGGGGAGGAGGAGGAAGGCAGAATGGGGCGGTCAGGGCACGGAAGGAGCGGGGCGCAGAGCCTACGGTCCTGGACTCCTCCTTCTAAACTCTGCGGTCAGAGGACCCCTGCTGTATAAACTAGCGCACACGGGGTCACTTCACAGTGGGGCAGGAGCCGCCCCCCCTGAAGGACCACCCTTTGGGTCTTACTGGAGCAGCACTGTATTTGCAGTGACAACTGTTTGCAGATAAGAAAGTAGCGTGTCCATCAGACTGAAAACTAAAGACATTCCTTGGAATTAGCGTCACCACGTCCGCTTCGTGCACTTACAGAAACTCATTCCTTAGCTCATCAAAACGCCTCCCTTTCTCTCCACCTGTCATTGTCCCCTTTCTCTTCCTCACAAACACCCCTCACCTTCACCTCCTAATCAGACCACTAACTGGGGTTCGGCCTGAACCGGTGCTTCCAGAATGCTCTTCTTCTGGATCTCAAAGAAACGCTTGCCGCCTCTGACTCTGGCCCTTTACTTTTAGGTGACCACTCCCAGGGCGCCCCTCTCAGTCTCCTTCTAGGGCTCCCCCGTACATGCGACCTCAATAAGAGGCATCCGTAAGTGTCTCCGTGGAGGACTTCCCAAGAGTGTCTCATTCAGAGAGTTCCTCGGAGGGGTCTGAATCTGGGGGCTTCTCCAAAGCGCCCCAGCCTGAGGTCCCCCTGCGGCATCCCATCTGGGGCACTGAGATGGAAGGTCTCAGTCTAGGACCCTTTCATGGTGTGAGGTGGGTGCTTGTCTCAGCCCAAGTGTCCCTCTGGACGAATGCCTCCCCCAATGGACAGCTGATGGCATTCGGCGACAGCTCCCGGAAGGCCACGCTCACGGGGCTGCCCCGCCCCTGCTCCCTCTGGTGGCAGGCAGTACAAGCCACGCGCCCCTCCAGCCGAGGGCCGGGAGAGCAGCCCCCACCCCCAGCACGCCCGAGTTTCCCTGCCTGCAGCAGCTCCGCCGCCCCCACCCCCCACCACCCCGGCCCTCGACCCAGAATCTCCCGCTTCGCCCCTGCTCGGGAGCGGGGGAAGGGCGGGAGGAGGGCCCAGGGTTCCCAGGCACCCATCGGGGACAGAAGATGACAGTTCATCAGAGGTTTCGGAATTTCCACCCAGTCCCACCTCTAATTGTCTTTGCGACTTAAACTCTCTAAAATCTGTTTCCTCCTCTTTAATACTGGACTTAAAAATGGAACCTACCTCAAAGGGTCGTAATTAACTGAGTAATTAACTGAGAAATTAACTAAGATAACGCAGGAAAAGGTTTAGCACGGTGCCAGGCGCAAAGCAAGCCCTCAACACATGCTCGCTGCCGTCACTGACATCCAGTGGCCCAGACCCCAGTGGCGCGGAGACGGAGCCCTGAGCCCCGGCAGGCATCGGGTGGGACCTGAATCACCTCACCTGCCCGGAGATCTGTCTCTACCTTTCCTAGATTCATTCGTCAATCATTTATTTTGTCAACAAAAGAATATCCAGACTAAGGAAAAAGTCTTAGGAGAGTTGATCGGAGTCAAACCGATGACAGATGTCGAGAAGCAAAACCTCGATGTTGAGAAAACGGCAGTTTCACGGCTTATTTTATAGTTAGCATCACAGGAGGAGACGGAGCGGGTCACGTGAAACCCTTTGGTGGTGCATTAAGGGGGTGAGGGAAAGCTGGGGGGGGTCTTTGGGGCGGGATGGAAAGCAAAACGGAGGGACACACACTTCTCCTACTCTGGTGGGTGCAGGCCAGGTGACGTTTACACAGAGAGATGGTCCGGGGACCGGAGGACAGTGAGGGGCTCTGTGCTCAGGTGGGAGGTTGTGCCCAGTGAGACGACTCTGACCTTTCGAAGGTCTGTTATAAAGGCTGACTTTCGTCGAGGAGGCCACAGGCCTAGGATGGGACCACCTGTCATGACCCGCAGTTAGTTTGGGATTTTCGTGTTCGGGCCGCCCATGTGGTGACTCTCGGTCTCCGAGTCTGTAGGGCCCGCCGGACCGGCCTCCCCGAGCTCGTCAGGTTCAGTCCCGGCCCCTTTTTCATCTGCCATGTATTGAGTGCCTACCCCACACGAGGTCTGGTGTCGGATGCTGAGGAACATTCAACGATGAGTGACCGTCCCGGCCCTCGAGGAGCGTGTGATTTGGGGACACTTCCCCAGCCCCTAGTCTCAAGAGGAGAAATCAGGGTAGGGTGTGAATCAGAAACATGCGTGTTTCAAGGAGGAGCTTTATTTGGGCTCTGCCCGGTCCGCCCTGCCCCAGCCAGCTGGCTTTACTTCCTCTGGGTCTCCAAGATCTTCCCCTGGATCTCCCTGGCCAGCTCCCCAATCAGTTTCCAGTACTCGTTGAACTCGACCTCTGCGTCCTGATTCACATCTAAGCTCTTCATCTTGTCATCTAAGGAGCCCGCATCCTGAGGAGACACCGAAGGGAAAGGCGAGGTGAGAAAGACGGGCTCTTAAGAGCGGGAGCGGGGAGGGTCCGCCAGTCGCCGGTCCCCTCCCGAGACGGCACGTGGACCTGCCCCCACACCTTCGGGACAAGGCTGCAACCCCAAGCAGTGCGGCCGGCCGTGGTGCCCGACGCCACGGGGTGGCAGCACAGGCGGTGGGGGACCCGATTCGGAGTGTTTGCCGGGGTGCGGATACTCCCCACGTGGCGATTACGAACCACAAACGCCACTGACCGCAGAGCCGGAGGGAGATGCACACGACGGCCCTCGCTTGCAGGTGCAGGTGGCCTCCCACACACTATTGCGCCCACTGCCACCTGTGGGACACTCGGGGAGCCCTCGTAGGCACGGACCCACTTTGACCACCCTCGGAGCCGTCTCAGGCCACCCTCGCCCGTCACAGAAAGCAGGTCACAGCGCTTGGCCGCTCATTTGCATAACCCTGGTGTCGTCTCGTTTTCTCCCGTTGGGACACCAGCCTGGTAGATCAGGGGAATGGCACAGACACGTGCTATTCGGTTTTCTAGGGGCCCCTTGACAAAGTCTCTCACGACAAGCCTGCGAAATCAAAGGATGCTATAACTGGACATCACGAGCCGAGGATTTGCTGCTAGACAAATACCCACACCCCAAAAGATGACTGTTGAACAGTGCATTGAAGTCAGACAAGGAAGGGTGTCTCTGGCAAAGCTCGCCGCTAAACGTTCGAATTGACATTTGGATGAAGGCAGAGAAGACTTGCCTGTCTATACAGATGGCACAAAAAGCTAATTCACAGAAGAGCAAAAGAACTTTTTTAAAAACCACAATCACGCTTCGTTGTAGAATACTATGAGCATTGCCGGGGGGGAGCACCGACGCCCGGTGGCAGGGAGAGAAGACTTACGATTAGTCCAGAGAAAGAAATAAAAGGTATAAACATTAGGAAAGAGGCCAATTCATCTCTTATTGTATTAGCAATTATATCATTGTATATCCAGGGAAAAGAAGAAGAAGAATGATAATAGCTACCATTTCAACAAGCGTAAGCGCTAATAGTGCTGACCGTTCTAAGCATTATGCTAAGCACATCACATGCTCTACTTCATTTAATCTTCATAATCTGCTGGAGTGAAAGGCTCCACCAGCACAGGGACCTTATCTGCCTTGTCCATCGCCGCACCCCAAAGCCTCGGACAGCATCAGGACGGGACGGAGTAGGCGCTCAGTAAATACTGACTGAATAAACGCGAGACCCATCCAGCAGCAGAGATATTATTATGCGTCCCTTTCAGATGAGAAATCCAGGCTCTCAATGGTTAAATAACTAACCAGAGAAATGATTTAGTGTCTGGTGACAATATTAACTCAAGAAAAAAACAATATCTTTTAGGAATATGAATGTTAATCAGTTAGAAACTGTAATAAAAACGATCCCATTTAAAACAGTAAAAAAGAAAATAAAGCACTTAGCCACAAATGTAGAAATAATTACGCTTCTGCGAAGAAACTGAAGGATACATGCGACATTGTGTCATTCGGATGACCAAGATATAATTCTCGCATTTGTGGCCTTTCTCTGCAGTTCAGACTCACAGATCCCAAAACCTTCAGAATTCTCTAAATGTTCAGAGTGCTGTGAACTATTTTTTGTTATGGAAATGAGGTGAACCACCCGTGTTGGAAACTGGGTCGCAAACCACATATTTAATATAAAAGAAAACTTGAATAAATAGAAAAACACACCTTTTTTTTCTTTAGAGAGAGAGAAAGGCTTACTAGTGTAAAGATGTCAATCTTCCCTAAAAGGTATTTACATAATTTCAATTAACAATCTACAGGATTCTTTTTAACATGATTAAACGTTACTAAAATTCTTGAAAAATAAACATGTGACATCCACCAGTAAAATTCTGAAAAATAAGAATAATGAGAGCCAACCAACTCTACAGGTATTAAAGGATATTAAAAAACTACAGTAAATGAGATTGTTACTAAATAAAAAATAAACGGATCCAAAATACACATGGGAATTGAATAAATAATCAAGGTAGTATTTCACATGAGTAGGAAAATTTTCATAATGAAACGAAGTCTGTGTTGTCGGGTTGTTTTTTCTTATATATATATGTTAAATTAGGGAAAATCTTTTAAGCATAGCATAAAACACAGAAGCCATTCAGGAAAAGTTTGAGAATTGGACGACCTAAAAAGTTTTTATATTCTGCATGGCAAAACCACCAAAAGCGAAGACAACAGACAAAAGGCCAATTAGGGAGAAATATTTGCAGCTCACGTAGTAGACAATAGCATCTTCATTCTATGAAGAGCTACAATGAATCAATAGGAAACAGAAAACCTCTTTGATAAGCACACGAGCAATTCACAGAAAATGCAATATTCATGCCCATCGAAAATATTTTCGATGTTCTGTTTCACTCAGAATTAAGAAACGGTACAAATCAGAACAAGTACCATTTTCACATAGCAGACTAGACAGCAATTGAAAGCCTGGTAAGACCCAGTTTCGGCGAAGATGAGGGAAAACAGGCATATTCACGTGAACCGCCTGTTGCCACAAAATCTGCCACAATCTCATCGGGCGGCAAACCGGTGATATCTGTAAAACTAAGAATATTCATGCTTTTTGACCTATTGTTTCTACTCCCAGGCATTCACCCTGCGTAGATATCTTCTCTCAGGTTTGAATGTTTGTGAAAGGCAGGGAACGGACGTAAACTCCATCAGCAGAGGATCAGCTACATATGTTTCTGTTACGCTATATCAAAGACAGTTCATCTTTTTTTTTTTTTTTAATGGGAAAAGATCCTCTATGCACTGCAATGGGGAGCAGAGTTGGCACCCCAAAATATGCCTTTCTGGGGATATTGATTATTTTCAGCTGGTTATTTTTTAAGAAACAAAAGAGTAAGGAAAATCTTTGACCTCCCCCTGGATGCCTAAAAGAATTTAGATGGAGGACCTGCTCCCGGAAGGAGCTGTCCTCGCGGGTCACCACAGTTGAATACGAACTCGTGTGACAGACAGGGAGGAGCCTGGCGAGGCCCCGTCAGGTAAACGTGCTCTCTGTGCCCTGCTGCTAAGGACGGCCCAGCGAACACTCACGGACCAACCATTCGCTCTTCATCTCCATGGGAACCGCCTCCCAGCCCTCTGAAGTCCCAAACCACACCCCCCACCTTCTCCTTGGCTCAAGACGGCACAGGAGCCTCAACTGCCCCATCCGTCCTTGGGTCTCATAGTCTTAACGGAACCCCCGTGTGCACCCACGTCATAAGTTTGGTTATTTTCTCCTGTTAATCTATCTCAGGTCAATCTGATGACCACTCGAGCCTGAAGAACTTAGGAAGGCAGGAGGAAAATTCCTTTTTACTCCCCGCAGAGGAATGGAATCAGAATAACAAGCGGAAGATAGGAAAAGGAGGCTTGACATTGAGATTTCGGGAGCGGTGCGTTATTTGCGGGTCTTTCGTTTGTTTTTTTTTTGTTCGTTCGTTTCTTTTCTCATATTCCGCTCCCCCATCTTGACTGGAAAGTCTCGAATGAATCGTGCATTATTTGGGTTACGACGAGATCCGTGAACAGAGGGGTGGAAGGCGGAGACCCAGAGGGACGGACTCTTTGGGAGGAAGAAGTCAGTTCGAGGAGCTGAAAGGCCCCGGCGCTGGCTGAGCTGTCTGTGTGGATACCGAAGGTGACGAAGTAGCAGCGATGGGAAGAAAAACAGAAAGTCAGGGGCCGAAGGGCTGTGAGGAGGGCAGAAAAGCACCGCAGGAGGAAGGAAGAACTAAGACGGGGAAACCGCGACGGGAAGCAGAGGCCGCGTCCCGCATCCGCGAGGCCAGAGGAAGCGGGGTCCGGACCCGGAGCCGGTCGCCAGTTGACGAGGCTGCAGGGACGGCCGCGCCTTCGGGACAGAGCCCCGGTTTCCCGGGACGAGAGGAAGGGAGGAGTCTGGGAGGCCTAAGGATGGAGGGGAGTTTGCAGATGATGGACTATGAGTTTCAGAGACTCGTTTGGGTTGTTTGATTTTTTTTTTTTTATGCATCTTCGCACATTTTCCTGTGCCTGTGAATTTTCAGAAAGGATGTAAAAGACACTGTTAGCATCCTGGGGCGATGTGTCCACCTACAGAGGATGAGCCTTAAATCCCTACTCGGCCCTGTGGCAGACGCATCCCCGAGAGGACCCCCAGAGAGGGCGGGAAGTAACCACAGATCTCTGACAGCCCCACGAATTTGGCCGCGTGTAGTTTTGTTTTGGTTTTTTTTGACAAACGCCTTCCCACAGCTGGGCCTCAGTTTCCACGTGTGTGAAGTGGGGCTCGTGGGCCGTGTTTTCTCTTGGTCCCCTCTGGCTCTGATGGTCTATGAGCCTCCTGGGAGCCAGCTCCGGGTCCGGCCCTCTGCTGGGCAAATCAGACCAGAGAGGCACAGAGCAGACACGAGAAGCCAACAGCATTGTCCGATAACACACATTCCTTCACACAGATGGTGTTACCTAGTTACACACACACGCACGCACATACACCAGGTAGGAACACCCAGGACCACTCACACGTGCCATCACCCACGTCCTTCTCCACAACGCACCTGTGGTCACGTTACCGTGCCCAGCAATACCACGTCACGCACACAGTGTCCCACAGCCACCGTCTTCCAAAACCTCAGGCCCCCAGACCCCCACCGACCTTGAGCAGGTGAGGCAACTGCTGTGTGGCCAGGTCTTTAAACTCACTGACGCTGAGGCTGTCCTTCCAGACCTCTTTCCTGGCAAAGGAGAAGAATGTGTTGATCACCATGTCGATGGCCGCCTCCAGCTCGGTCAGCGGCTCCTCAGCCATCAGGCCCCCGGGGCTGGAGCGGACTCCTCACAGGGCTGAGCGGTGGGAGGAGGAAGCAGAGAGGGAGAGTCAGGGTTAGGCCGGATTATTCACTGAGGCCCCCTCACTGAGACTCCCTCAGCAGACCCCACACCTTCCCTGCCCTGGGGGCCACCTCGGGCCTCTGCCCAGGAGAGGCAGGGCGGGGAAGGAAGGAGGGGACAGATAGGTTCTCAGGGCAGGGAGCACCTCCGTGTGGGTGGGGGAAGGGGTGTTCATTCCAGGAACCCCTACTTCTCAAGACCTCACAGTCTGGGGATCTTCCTGGGACTTGGGGACCCCCATGTGGTGGCTCCTTGGTCTGTCCAGAGGGGCTTTGGGTCTGAGGGCCCTCTCGGGAGCCCTCTGTCTCCTGGCTCAGTGACAAGGACCCTTTCTTGGATTTGGAATCTCACCCAGCCTCGAAGGGTCAGGAGGATGTTTGTCTCCAAAGCTTGTTTGTATGGGGACCCAGTCTCCACCCCGCAGGCCTGAGCAGCTCCTCCCAGCACAGCAGAGCCGGTCAGCAGCGCCGGGTCTGGCCAATGCCCAGCGGTAGTCAGGGCTGGCTCTGTCTGGACAGACCCGGCCTCCCGGCGGCCCCTCCCCGTCCCCCGCACGGCCAGCTGGGCAGAGTGCTGGGCCCAGGACACTGCAGACTCCCGCCTCTGTCTCCCAGCGACAGAGGTCCTGGACGGGCCTCACCAACTGCCAGCACCCAGGAAGGGCTTGGTCCTGCCACACACAGCCCCGCGGGACAGGCTGGAGTCAGGGGCCATGCCAACTCAGCCTCCCTTTTCCGCCCCGTCCCCACGCCCCCGAGGACTGTGGCCTGATACTTCCCCACACGCACATCCTGAATCCCAGTCTGAGCTGCCTCTGGGGGAGGGACCTGGGATCCCAAGGAAGAAAAAGGCTCCCTCCAGAGTTAGGGGGACAAGACTCACCGGAGCGAGTCGCAGAGATGGGGTGCAGCAAGCGGAAGCCGCCGGGTTGAGGTTTATAGCCGCCTGGCAGGGAGGCCAGCGCCCTTCCCGAGCCCGGAGGTGTCAAGTTTCCTGGTCGATTCTGAAAAAAGGAGCCGCCCATCACGCCTGGCACCCCCCTCCCGCCCGGCACCCCCCTCCCGCCCGGCGCCCCCCTCCCGCCTGGCGCCCGGCCATCCGCCCTGAACTCCCGTTCCCCCCAGCCCAGCCCACGCGTGTCCTCGCTTGGTGGGGGGAGGACCTGCCTGGAGCTGCAGGGCCAGATCCCAATTCGGGGAGCCTCTGTCCCCGCCCCCCACGTCCACTCAGGCCTGCGTGTGCTGGCGCCCAGGTGACTGCGGGTTGAAGACCCAGCTGAGGGGGCTCAGGCTTGAGAGGCCTTGTCTAAGACACGGCGCACCTCAGCCGGGGACCCCGCAGCCCAAGACCCCTCAGCTGATCCCAGACTCAGACCCCCACAGACAGAGGGGGATCGGACTGGGGCCCCTGCCAATGTAAGAAACGTCCAAACCTGTAGAGAATTTTTATGAGTTTCTTTGAGCCAAACTGACCACAGCAGCCGGGAAAGCAAAATCTCAAAGACTGAGAGAAAATGCTCCGGGGCGGGGCACTGACCCGACTTGTTTCGTGCTGGAATCAGAGGAGGAGCCTGCGGGGGGCTGATCAGGAAGGCGGGAGAAAGCCGGGGGGTGCTCTGGTGCTCCGGGGGGGGGGCACTGACCCGACTTGTTTCCTGCTGGAATCAGAGGAGGAGCCTGCGGGGGGCTCAGGAAGGCGGGAGAAAGCCGGGGGGTGCTCTAGGGGAGGCGGGGGACAAAAAGCAAAACGGAGGGACACGCACTTCTCCTACGCCTGTGGGTGCAGGCTAGGTGACGTTTACACAGAGAGGTGGTCCCGGGGACCGGAGGACAGTGAGGGGCTCTGTGCTCGGGTGGGAGGTCATGCCCTGAGGGGTCTGGAGGAGGAGCCGAGTCTGACCTTTCCGAGGTCTGTTATCTTAGATGCAAAAAGAAGATGGGCAGACATTTTCGGTAAAGGCTGACCTTCCTCAAGGAGGCCACAGGCCTAGGACGGGACCACCTGTCATGACCCACAGTTAGTTAGGGATTTTCGATTTCAGGCCGCCCGTGTGGTGACTCTCAGGCTCTGAGTCTGTAGGACCCACCGGGCCAGCCTCCCCGAGCTTGTCAGGCTTTGAGTGTGACCCCTTTTTCATCCACACCCCCGTAGAGGAGGCCCAATGTTGAAAGCCCTCAGTGGGGTCCCACGCTGAAACCTCCAAGGATGACTCCTGAGACTGGATTATTCACTGGGGCCCCCTCGCTGAGACTCCCTCAGCAGACTCCACATCTTCCCTGCCCAGCTGGCCGCAAGGGGTACCAACCAGTATGGCAGGGAGGGGCTTCTTAGAGTCCTTCTCAGGCCCTTTCCCACCTCCCTCCTGGGCCCTGCCCGTTGGGGCCCAGCAGGCGGGGGAGGCGGCCGAGGCTGGAGAACAGGACACAGGGCAGCTTGTTCCAGCCCAGGAGACAGAGGGCGCCTCTGTCCACTCCTGGCCCCTCGCCCCGCCGGGTGTTTGTCTGTGAGGGGGTGGAGCCAGTGCGGAGGGGGTCGGCCGGGGGAGGCCGACAGAAGACAGGTCTCCACACACAGCTCTCGGAGCCACATTTGCAGCCTCGTCTGTCTGTCCAGAACCTGCTCCCACCTGAGGCCCAGGCTAACAGTGAGTACCCTGTCCCATCCTGCCCTGGCCAGCGTGGGGGAAAGGGGACTGCCTGGGCAGGACTCAAGGAGTGGGTGATGGCCCTGGTCTGCGATCTGGGGGAGACGGGGGGCCAGAAGGTGGTAAGAGGAGACAGGGGGAGCTCAGAGGGAAGTCTGGAAACTCAGTGCCTGAGGATGCCCGCGGGGAACCCAGCCTCCGAGCTTCCAGAAGACCAGACTCTCCCACCTCGGAGCCTTCAGCGCCCTGCCTGGGCTCCCCCATCTCCCAGGCGCTGCGTGGTGGGGGGCAGCCCTCGGCTCACTTCCAGTGGGGTGAGAATGACTGAGCAGATGGAACAGCTGCTTCTGTCCATCCCGCTCCAGCCTCAGCCTCCGCCACCCCACCCGGCCTTGCCAGGAGCTCGGGGCCCAGGGGAGTCTGGGGGTGGCAGAGCATGGACCACATGATGTCAGGAGCAGTGGGCGCTGGGGAATGGCACCCACTCCCCACGCGCCCTTTCTCCCCGTCCTCTTCCCGGCCCAGACGTCCAGACTCCTCCGCCCTCCCATTCTTCTCTCTGTTTTCCCACCCGCCCCCTCCCTGCCATGGTCCTCCCAGAACTGCCCCCGCATGAAGTGCCTGGCTGCTGGAGGCCTCCAGGCCACCTCCAGCTTCCCCTCTGGGACGGGGCCGGTAACCGAGCCACTGGCCTCCCTCCCGCACATGCCCCTTATCCCCTCCATCAGCCCGGCTTGGGTTCCATCTTCCCCATGTCTCTGTGACAACCACTTCTCATGTCCGGAGTTCAGGTGACACTCACAAGGGCCCCATTGAACGGCTGGGATATCATCTGATCGGGGCCTATTGTCCAGCCCCTCGGGCCTGGGGAAGGATGGAGACACCTGATCTAAGACACCTGAGCTGCCCCCTGAGGCCGTGGAGGGGCTGACTGTCCCAAGACCAAGGGGAAGAGGCCCCCTGGCATGGCGGTCCCCTCTCCTCGACAGACCCCTCCACTTTCTTCCTCCTCTCTCCCCACCCCTCGAACTCCGACTGACCCCCAACACATACCAGCCCCCTTCTCCCTCATGCCACTGTCCCCACATCGACCGGGCTGGGCCTGGGGGTGGGCGTGCCCGGCAGCGGGGTCGAGACCACACAGGCCTCCTCCCGCCCCTCCCTGGAAGCTCTGGGTCCCAGAGAAGGCTCAGACCACCCGTTGGAAGGGCCGATTCTGCAGAGAAGATAAAAGAAGCCAAAGTAGGGGAAATGGAGGTGTACCCCAGGGACTCCAAATTGCCACGTTCAGGAGGGAACAGAGCTGAAGGACCAAAAGAGACCCCCCAACGCACCCCCCATCTGCTGGCAGGAAGCTCGGAGGCCGTGAGACCCTCTAACCGTGAACCCTGGGCCACGCTCCCCATCAGGCCTAATGAGGGTGCCAGACTGACTCTGTGGGCAGCAGAGTCCAGGCTACAGGGAGGAGCCCGGCCCACCAGCCCCAACAGCAGAGCTTGGCTATGCTAGGCAGCAAGGTCCAGGGTAGAAATAGAGCCAGAGGAAGCCTGGCTGGGTCCTGCGACCACCCCTGCCTGCCTGCCACACCCTCCCCAGCATCTGCCCAAGCAGCCAGGAGACACTGCAGTCCACTGCAGGCCTCTAGAGCCAGGCCCCAAACCCTGACTCCCTCTGGCTGGGGTACGGATCGAGGGACACAGAGGACGGGTCTGGACTTAGACATCTAGGTCCCCTACATCATACAAGCCCAGGAAAAGGTCAGTCGTGCTGAGACTCCAGTCTCGCGGCTATTGGGGCTGGGGGGCCAGGGCCAGGTCTGAGGGGTCCCCTCGCCCCAAACCCAGGTATCCTGAGCATGCTCTCCCCGCTGACTTCCATGGTGGGGGGTGGGTAGGTGAGCTTCGCAATGGGATCCGAGCTGGAGACAGCGATGGAAACGCTCATCAACGTGTTCCACACCCACTCGGGCAAGGAGGGGGACAAGTACAAGCTGAGCAAGAAGGAGCTGAAGGAGCTCCTGCAGACCGAGCTCTCCGGCTTCCTCGACGTGAGCACGGGGCGGGGGACGGGGCGGAGCGGGCCGGGGCTGGGGCAACAGAGTGGGCGCCTCCCTGCCATCGCCCCTCCCCACCCAGCTCAGCCCAATCATCTTCCTCTCCCAGGCTTCTCTCCCCGGTTTTCCCAGGCTCCCCTGCTCCTCCCGGTTCAAGTCAAAGTACCAGGCCCTGCGTAGGTGCATCAGTAACAAGGCTTACAGCCCGGAAGGGAAAGACTGATGCTCGACAGTAAATCTAGAACACCAGGAAGCACACAGAGCCTAAACAGAGGGGCCAGAGAGGCTCACGGGAGAACGTGACCCTGACCGAAGTGGGACAGCTTCTCCATGGAAGTGGCACTTGAGCCATAGCTTTCCGATGGGGGACTATTAGGATAAATGTACGGATTTTAGGAGGAGGTATCTGCATGAGTCGAAGCACGGCAGAAAGGGCTCCGAGTAAAATGGCAGGACAGGTAAACGCTGTGCTTGCCACCTCCCAGGACCGCAGCGAAATTACCACTAAATTCTAGAACAATCGACCTCGAGAACTCTCTGAAGACTAGCTGGACAGAACTCCTGTAACTAAGGATATAAAGCAGAGGCCACGCCGAGGCTGAAAGAAAAAAAAATTAAAATTAAAAAAAAAAAGCACGGTAGGAAAAAGAATATAATGCACGCTCAGTAGTTTTGGCTGGAGTGAGGGATGGATGCAGAAGAGTAGGCTGAAGGAGAAGCCAGTAGAAAGTGCACAGGCTCTGAGGTTTTATTAGACCTGGGTTCAAATGCTGGTGCTGCTACTTTGTAGCTAATGATGTACATATCATTTAAACAGCAAGTGTCCATTTGTTTCTTCCCTAGAATGGGAATAATGAAACCCACTTCATGCTATTTGTTTGAATTAAATGAGACAATGCTTATAAAGCTCCTAGTGTAGTGCTTGTCCCACTGTGGGCACTCAACCTATGATAATTGATACGATCACTCTGCCTTGTTGAGGAGCTTATTCTGTAGGCGACAGACGGCCACAAGTGTTTGTCAGTTTTGAGGAGGGCAACGGATGAGTCTCATAATTATATATAGTGCTCCCTCTTGCGCATCTCTGCCTCCTCCCCAAACAACCACCCCCCCCTTGCCTCTAGCTCGGTGCTATCCATCTCTATGCAACTATCCATCTCCTCCCTTCACAGGCCCAGAAGGATGCAGATGCTGTGGACAAGGTGATGAAGGAGCTGGACGAGAACGGAGACGGGGAGGTGGACTTCCAGGAGTATGTGGTGCTGGTGGCGGCCCTCACCGTGGCCTGTAACAACTTCTTCTGGGAGAACAGTTGAGCAGATGGCCCCAGTGGGCAGCGCCCTTCCCCTTGGCCCTGCCATACCTGCCCCTATACCCGGCTTCACCCTCACCCCATTTTTCCCTCCGCATAGTCCCACCCTTGCCCACCTTCCAACAAGGGCGCAAGAGTAGTGGGCCAGGCCTGCAACTCGTCTTTCATTAAAGGCTCCTCTCTCGCCAGTCCCTGACTGTCTCTTTTGGGCTCTGGAACTGGGTGGGGAAGTGGTCGGGCTCAGGCCCAACCTGCCTTATGAGGCTGGATCTTATCTGGAGAGAGGTCAAGGGACCACCACCCCTTCCTGCGTGAGCAATGTTCAAGGCCCAGGACGGTAGGGGTTCAAGGCTCCAGCCGGAAGTGGAGGAGACATTAGCTTCTCAGCTGTAAAGGCAGAAGAATCATTTCCCCTCAACCTTCAAAGAATATTTAGAGGCTCTTCCGTGTGCTAGACATTGTGTAGGAACTGGGGACACAGCAGTGAACGAAACAAAGAGGACCCTCACCCTCACGCAGGTAGAGCCCAGTAAGGGCGCCAGACCATTAAACCCAGACATGAATTCCGGCAAGGACATCGAAAGGATCCTGACGCGCACGTATGGGGTGGAGGGATGGTCGACGATGTGTTCATTCGCTCATTCTTCAAACGTTTGGGCATTTTATCGTGTACCCAGGCACTCGAAAAAAATCCCATATACGTCTGCGTCAAAATCCACATGGTTGGCAGATGAAGAGGGAGGACACAGAAGGGGGAGCGGGGACTCGAAGGTCCCCGCCGAATTAGGATTTAACAATATTCAGGCCAAATCGGGGAGGGGCGTGAAG